ATTCATGATGCGTAGCACAAGATCCTGGTGTTTTTTGGGTGGTTAGAGGAGAGAGAGTGATTATCAATGCATCATCTCCCTTATAAAAACCTTGGTAGACTTAGATGATGTTTCTCATGGCAGGTTTTTCTGTTAACAAAACCATTGTTTTTATAGGGAATTTTGACCCGCAGTAGTCTAGACACAGGCTTTTGCTTGAAATGTTGCCCTCGATGACATAACACTAAGTAGTCGGTTCCACAAAAACCTTAAGAGCAATAGAAGTTTGTTAGCTAGCAAAAGGAGTGGTATTTGCATCCATGGGAACGAAACACATTAAAGAATTGCATATGTTGCTTTGTGTGTTCATTATGGGGCATGGGAGATGTGAGTGAGCCAGGCGGGTGATGGTGTAAAGTCTGCAAGGAGAGACAACTTGGATGAGTGTATATTTAATTGGGTACAGCAAAGGCTGGCAGCGTGTGTGTCAGCACTTGACAGACGAGAGACTGGGATAATGGGAGAAAACTTGAATCAACTTCTGCATTTCTCCCCAGTACCACTCCCCAACCCCCTTCTACTTCCAGTACTCCTCTCTGTGCCACGTGGACTTCTACGAGTCATGACATTTGAGGCAGTGATGAAAGGAATAGCTGAAGTAGAGACGGCAGTGTAATGCACTTCTCTCAACTGTATTCACAATCAATTTCCAGCCGGGACAGACATAACTAATTTTGCACTGAATCGGAACAATTAACATGTTGAAATCTTTTATTTTCACTATTCAGGCCAGATGCAGGCGACATTTTAGATGCCACTGTTAGTAAGGAAACTAAAGGATAGCCTACTCTAAAAAGCTTTAGAAAGCGTTTATTTTATCCGGACTGACATACATATGTCTACTGTTAGTAAATAAGGGCATCATCTGCTGAAGTGTACCGTTTGTCTTGTGCCCAATCTCTTTTGCAAAGGTGATGACCGAAAGATGGATCACAGGGAAACATACACAATACTTTGAAAAAAGTTTTTGTTGTTGTTCAGCTATTTCATATTTCAGTTACCCTGAATCGTATACCCCTAAAGAGGAAGCGTATAAACAGCCGCCCTCACTACTCATCTAATACATGAGCAGAGTATAAAGAAAAAACATTTTTGATATAAAGTCAAAGAAATTCCCCTTCAGATTTTGCGAAATACCACATAGGGATCATGGCAAATTGTTATTGTCAAATAGACCAAAATTAGTACATTTTAGGCATTTTAAAATCTATAGTAGTGGATGCAGTTTACAGTAGGAGGGTAGAGAAGACTGCAGCAGAGCTGGAGGTATTGTTAATTCTGGCCCATGCTGCTGGTTTATTTTTCAATAGCATCAGATGAAAACTAGATAAAGTTAATAGGAAGTTAAGATAGAGTTACATATAATACAATTCAGAAGAAAAAATGAGACTAAGGTTTCGCTGAAATTCCAGAATCCCCAACATTGTCAACATTAAAATTGGGTTTTTTAACATAACCAAATGTGAAAAGATTTCTTGGAGTATTTTGTTTGTATGTTTTCTATCTGATACTTTGGGGAAAATGGCGTTCAGATACTTTGTGAAACGTAGATACTCTTTAAACTTTAACTTTTCAAAAAAATAAATAAGCCATGCAAATGCAGATAGGCTGCAGTTAAAGCAAAAACAGTCACTAGGGGACAAAAATACACAACTGGTCTCACTGGCTGCTAACTTGATTTTATTTCATTCTTAAACGTAATGAAGTAGTCTGCTTGTGATGTGCAGTCAACTGAGTATCAGAGGAGTTCAGAAGAAGCCAAGGCAGGACTGTGAGTAGAGGGTCAATGGGAGCACATATGGAAAAACGATTGAAAGTGGTCACCCAGGGGGACTAGACCGCCTTTTCTTGCTGCCGGGTAGGCTAACGTCACCAAGAGGATTACCTGACCTCATTAATCACTTCCTCTCCCCCATGAGGTTTTAAGTCCTCATACCTGAATCACTGTGTGTAACCACAAAATGAGTAAAAAGACAAGTTCTCCACCCCATTCCATTTCCACCAATCCTACTGTCCTGCCTTTCCTTGAAGCCCACCCTGTAGTCATCTGGCAGCCGAGGTAAAGGCTTAAGGTCACAAAAAAATGTGACAAAAAACAAAGCCTTGCAGTCTAGCTGCCTGTGTCTTATTAATCCAAAAACCCAACGTCATGCAATTAACTGCTTCAGTGATTCAGATTTGTATCTTGATCATTGCTGTCGCCCTTCCAGCAGTCGGTGCACCAGTAACTGGTAGCATGTGTGCATATACATAATCACTGCAAGTGACACTGTAAGTAAAATATAACAAGGGGAACAGGGCCTGTCGGTGAGATCACGGAGCAGATGAAGTGGCCCCTTGGGATGCCAAGACTTCAAGAAGCCCCCAACCTCTGCTTAACTCACTGATGACTAGCATGTGTGACTAGCTAACAGGTCGAGACAGCTGCTAGAGACACTACCGACGACTGAAGAGAAATAGGGAGTGTAGATGATTGACAGCTTCAACTTTACCACTGTCTATATGATTTCTTCATACGTGAATCAGAGAGGAAACTCAGATAAGAACTGGTACTTAGATCACTGACATATGCATATATACTTGCTATGAATGGCTCATACCCTATTTTTATTCAAGGTGATTAATTCGGAAACTTGGTAAGGGAACGGGTGCATGCTCTCACTTTTCCTTTATCCGAAAGCTATCTCATTAACTAAAGACAGCACACATTTAATCTTTGTGTCAGGGCAAGTTTCTTCCGCAGACAAATTTGTTCTTGAACCAGAGGTATTACAGGTCCATGAAATTGTAGCCCCAATTTTTCAAAGACCAAAAAGTGACAGCTCTCCAGTCGCCTCAGTCTTCCTCACACCCACGTGCCTGCCTGCTCTCTCAGAGGTAATTATAAACCAATTATTCAGATTATGTCATAGGTTACATGTGGTCTGCATTTGTCTATATGACTCAGTGCAATAGATAAACAAGTAGGGTCTTTTTATTCCGTTGGACGTTGCTGCTGTTTTCACTCGGATGGAGCTCAGAGAAAATTTGTCTGAGGCAGTGTGCTGGTGTGTGCTTGGGTAATTGACCAATTTGTGGGATTTTGTCAGAGAGCCCCAGTTTTTGGGAGCCCTGGTTTTCTGTAACTGATCTACTGGAGCAGATTTTTAAAGCGGTCAAGAGGCCACCTGGGTGGATCAATGGAGGTTCATAAGGAGAGAGGCAGAACTGTGATTTGTTTTGGGTAAATTGTACAAGATGAATTCTAGACCTTTACAGCAATTCTTAGACGCACAAATCTTTTCTTCTTATTACCATTTGAGAATGCTGTAGTTTAACAAATATATGTCGTTGGAGGTCTATGTCTTTGACTCCAAATGAAATCATAGGATAGTAAAATGTCTCAGTCAAATATTACTTGGAAATGTAATAGTTTTGAGTCACCCCTTACATTTTGAGATACTGTGTCCATATTCAGGTATTTATCTATTTTTTTGTCAAAATAGTTTGATTAATTGTTGCTTTTATGTTGAGATAATAAATCAGTTTATGCATGAAATGCAATTCCAAACTGTGCATGGCCAAGGAGGGTCTCTCCAACTTTTCACAAATATTTGATCTTTTTATTGGCTAAGCAGCAGCAGCTAATAGAGGAATACAAAAGGAAGGGGTAGTTGTTTGAAGTTGTGATACTGATACACTAGTCTCTTTCATCACAGTGGGACACAGTCTCTAAACTTTAATGGAAATCACAATGCAAGTTCATAACTGCCCCAAGGCCTAGGGGGCGGGATTATGTTGTGCTCCATGGAGGGATTTTTTTAGTTCACAATTCACTCTTTAACAGTGGCTGAATTAAAAAGGAGATACTTTTGGTTAGTTTCCAAACCTAATCCTTGGTCACGTGAGGCAATCTGGGGTTCAGATCTTTTATTTTTAAGTCGTAGGCTTGATCTAGCATACTGGGTATATTTTTTAACCAAAGAATAGTTCAGAGTGAATAATATCTATTATCACAAGAGTGAGATGAAGAGCGTTACCCAGATATAAGAAATATTTAGGTAACATCTGATAAGGAAGTTCAGTGCCAGATCTAGCTTGATGTCTAAGCCAACAAGCTAAGCCATAATTTTTGAACAAATGTTTATTTAAATCAACCCTACTTTGATCCTAGTAGCGTAAATTCAGCAACTATGTTGAAAAAATCAACCCAACAATTTTTTTTGGTTTCTTTTTTGTAAATGTAGTTTTTATTTTTAATCTTCTTTAGTGATATCATTGTTGCGTTTCAAGTCATCTTTGTTGGACCTCAGGATACTTTCTAAATCCCACTGACTCATTTTGATTTAACCAATAAGAGTAATGCAAAAGCAATGATAACTCAGTCAACACTGGTTAAAAGCAGAATTAAAGAAAATTCAGGATGACCTTAATCTGAGGATAACCTTCAGTTCTAGAGAGAACTGGCCGCTTCCTTCTTGTTTTTTATTTTTATTTTCTTTATTTTCATAATTTTTGTAAAGTTTTAAAGAGATTTTAAGGTGATGTGAAACTCCTGAAAATGTTCATCTTTTTCAGTATTTCTTCATCATCATCATCTTTATATGTATTGCGCTTTAAAACAGCTAATGCTAAAAGCAAAGTGATCAACATAGCTAAAAATAATAAAACACAATAATAGAATAAAATACAGCATAAAAATATAAAATAAAAAGACAATAATAAGAATTTGTTGATTTTTAATTCCGAGGAGAATAACATACAGATTCAAGAAAGTCTCAATTACTACAAGTTCTATAAATAATCTCAAACGATTTGGGAGGCTAAAACTGTAATGAACAATTTGTCTATTAGAGCCCCTCAGCTATGTGTCAGTTATTAGTTCCTGGTGCTGATTAAATCTCTTTCCTAAATGAGAACCTGCCTCAGATAAGGGTCTTGTTGTGCTTCCTCTCACCTCAGCTTCTTTGTTCTGCTTCCAGCTTTATGGTTACATGGAAAGTGAGCCCCTCACCCTGCAGCTTTTCATTGGGACGGCAGATGATCGCCTTTTGCGACCGCATGCCTTCTACCAGGTCCATCGGATCACCGGCAAAACCGTCTCCACCGCCAGCCATGAAGTCTTGCAATCCAACACCAAGATTCTGGAGATCCCTCTGCTGCCAGAAAACAACATGCGAGCCATGTGAGTCATTTGAGATGTGTTAATTAATCTTCAGAGTTTTACTGTAGTTAACATCACTTTGAAACACAACTGTTTTGTTGACATTTTTTTTTAACCATTGCCCGAAAAAATACAACATTACAAAATACTAAAAAGTCCTCTGTCCTTTAGCTCCATGAGGTGAACAGGTGCTAAGGCTGAAACTGTCCATTGGTGACTAATTCTACCTGGCATGTATAAACAGGGGCTGCAAATGTCAGAATACAGACATCCCCCCACCTGGATTAAGTCCTTCAACTACGTTAATGTCACTGTACAAAAATATGACGGCAAGATTAATGTGCAAAAACATTTCTACCCTGGTAACAAGTGTGTCAAAAACAATACAACCATCTATTAAGCTCATATAGTGCTCGTTTGTGAGATTGGACAGCTAGGAATGAACATGGGTATGCGGTATTACATATATCAAAATAATGGCTTGCCACAGTAACACAGAGTCACTTATCCAGTTTCATGATCTAAACATTTCATTATATGATATGATTTAGTTACAAGATGCCAGGTAAACAATTTTAAGTTTAGTTAACCAAGCTTAAAACCCCCCTACCACAGTAAAATAGAAGCAGAAAATCTGAAAAAGAGCTGTCTTTTGATTGCAAATTACAGTACTTAAAGGGCACTCTAATTATTATAAGTTGTGTGAGAGGAAAACTCTTCTGAGGACAGTTTGGAATCACAAAACAACCAGTCATGAATGTTTTTAGATGTGGGAGGAAGTCAAAGCAGGACTCCACATTGTGTCCAGGTAGTAGCACTTTTCCAGACGCTCCTTTCTCATGGGGCAGTAGGGAATGTTCTTTTTTGGACTTGTTCCCAGAACCCTGTGTTAGGGATAACCCTCTAGATCAGACCTTAAATAAGGTCAGAATTTTGCTCCCCACTATATTTATCCGTAGTATTTTAGAGATTTAAAATACAGAGTTATTTATTGTTTCTTTTTGTTTCACCATGATATTAGTTCCCTCAATTATGTCAAAGAGAGGGAACATAATCCTATGCATTTATGATTGGTTTGACTAAATGCATCCCTTCTTGTTTGTTTAACAATAAGAACATGACTTCTGACTTTCTTTTGCTCTTTAAATGCTCACACTCAGACTGAAAGCGAAGAAGTTAAAGTTTCCCCAGTTTTCCCCTGACAGTCAAACTTAAAGAAAGGCCTTTAACTGTCTCTTTCCACTGAGATGTTTACCAGCTGACTCGATAAGGCAGCCTTCGCCTATCTGCTCTCGTGCCAGCGATAATTTGCTTGCTGTGTGGGATGCAGAAGGTAGCAAAATTTAGTTTTTGACATCTTCAGTTTCTCCCCTTTCCTCTTGAAAGAAGTCAGTTTATGCAGAAAAACTGACTGAACTTGGTGTAACCTTTTACCATAACTTAATATTATAAGCTAGTAGACAATTTCGCAATTGCAGACAGTTTGTGCAAGAATTGTAAGACTGTGCTTTAGGTTTTTCATTCATATTTGAAATGTAACCCCCATTTTAAGCTTTCTTAAGTAAGGGACAGACATCTGAATAGCTTCCATAGCTGATTTCACCCGGTCATGACAGATTCCTAAATTATGCAAAACTGATAAGGAGAGGTTGCCTTGACTGATTTCAGTTTTCCCTCATTCGTGTTGAATAAACCAAAACCAAAGAAAAAAGAAAACAAGGAATGGTTTAAAACTTGACATTTGCCGTGTTCCAGCAGCACTGCCCAAAAGCCTACCACGTAACACAAATAAAATGCCAAAACATATCCCATTTGTTTTTCCTCCCTTTCACCAGCCGCATTAGTTGTATTTCAATTTATAAATGCCTGCAAAAAAACGTTTCTTTCCGACCAAAAGGAAGGAGAGAAACTTTAGCTCTCTACCTCCCAAATTGTAAAATGAAATAAATAAAGACAGACAGCTTAGGCAATGGTCTGCTGCTGCATGTGGAAATGATTAACAGCAGCTTCTATGCAGAATGAACCAATTCAATAGCCTGAAAGGACAAAGTAGCCCTGGAGACGGATGGATCTTTTTGTGATACTGATGTCTTGTGATAATCACCTCCTCAATGATGCGAGGAGTTTATATTGGATAAAAATATCAATCAATATTTAAACAGTTATGCCCAAATGGTATTCAGTGCGTTAACACAATCAAACAATTGCTTATGCAAAATGCATGGGGGTTTTATTAAGTCATGCAATATCATTTGAAAGTGAAATATATTTTGTTCGATTGTAGTTTGATATGATAGAAAAACACATGTAGTGTATCATTCTATAATGGAAGCAAAAGAAGAGTATTCAGGATATTTAGGCCCAAGCAAAAAAATGCTATGCATTTTGGAAAATTAAAAGCTGTATATTTCACTCGAAAGCAATTTCCAGTGTGAAACATGGTATTGGCAGCATCATGCTGTGGGGATCGTTTTCTTTTGAGAGATGGCTGGAGTCAAACAGAATAAAAACCTTAAAGCCAGAACTACAGGGGATAGTTTTAAATCAAAGCAGATTTATGAGTTAGAATGGCCCAGTTAAAGTCCAAACCCCAATCTAATAAAGATTATCTGTAGCGATATTTCAATGAAACCTTGTAGACTTACATTGATTTACAGTTCCAATTTTAGCAAAAAAAGTAGGTCTGCAAAGTATTGGTTCCAGAAAAAATAGAAAAAGGATAAATCAAGTATGTTGAAGTTTGTCATTGTAACACAAAATGTAACACTTTGAGTGCACACTTTGAAAGACAAAGTTTTAAGAGTGTTATTTACCATAAATTTAATGATACATAAAAAACTTACGCATAAAAGAAATCCTATTCAGAACCAGAACATCAGCTCTCTGGTTCCATTCAGAACCAAAAACTCTTCCTCTCTAGGTCTGTTTAGAACCAGAATCTCTTTCTTTCTGGGTCCATTCAGAAACACCTCCTCCTCTCTGGGTCAATTAAGAACCAGAACCTTCTCGTCACTGGGTCCATTCAGAACCAGAACCTTTTCCTCTCTGGGTCCATTCAGAACCACCTCCTCTTCTTTGTGTTTGTTCAGAACCAGAACGTCCTCTTCAAAGCAAAGATGTAATATGTTGTAAGCTTTATGCATCAAAATTTCGTTTTCTATACACTCTGTGTATGCAAAAAGACAATAAAGTTAGTCTAAGTCTAACTAAACCAATAGATTTGTGTTTATATACTGACAGCAGTATATATAAATTAATGACTGATCAACTTTTTATTCTTGTGCTTCTTTCCTTATAGAATTGACTGTGCAGGAATCCTCAAGCTACGCAATTCTGACATTGAACTGCGCAAAGGAGAAACAGACATTGGGCGAAAAAATACTCGCGTGAGGTTGGTGTTCCGTGTGCACATCAACCAGCCCAATGGCAGGACGGTGTCGGTGCAGGCTGCTTCAAACCCCATCGAATGCTGTAAGTTTGGGACACACACAAATAGAGACAAGCACAAAATCTTTCCACTCAAGAAAAAAGTGGTATCTATTGTTGCAATGTAATAAAATAAGCCACAATTTTAATACCTACTGGAACTAATTCACTACCTCTGGACCCAATAGGTTTTACACAATCAAAGGAATTCACAAAGGCAAAAGATGTATTGTTCCTGGTGCCAAACACGTGTTACTTTTACCAAATTCACATTTTATGAATGCCCAAGTTATGTGGTAAAAGCAACCCATTAGCACACTTTCCTCAAAGGTCGTTTTCCAGCCGCAGTTTTGGCACGTTTGAATGATTCCATCATAAGAAACTTCTGTTTCTTTGACATTCATTTCTGTGTATACTTATGATGTGATTGGCACCCAAGAATGTAATCAAGTCAAGATGTTTAGACAGAGATGACGTTAACAGAACGTCAAAGTTAATCAGAGCTGGTTTATCGTGGCTGAACAGTAAGGGACCTTTAGCTCTCTAGGAAACTTGTTTTAAAGTAAACTCATAAATTAAATCCACATCTTAGTGATAATAGAGATCCAGTTTTTTTAAGTATCTGGCTGTGAATCATCTCATTGTATTCCAGAGGTTAGAGGTGATCCCAGCTTGCTTCATTTTAAAGAAAACAGAGACAGGTGGTTGGCCACTGGCTGCTTGATGGAAATAATGAAGCAAAGATCTGAGCATGAACGTATTATTCTGAGCCGTTCTGCACCTTTTTTAAAGCAGCAGTTGGCTGAAAACCTCTTAGCAAGAGGTCATGATATCATAGTAATAAATTTGATAAGCTGGTTCTCTTAATGAAAAGCTGGTGTTTTACAGGCCTTGTCCTGGTCATGCTCTTCTCAGAGTAGATGGTGATCAGTAAGTTTGTTCACTTGGACTCAAAATCAGTGTTGAAAGGTGAGTTTGTGTGTGTTTCTGCAGCCCAGCGTTCAGCTCAGGAGCTTCCCTTGGTGGAGAAGCAGAGTGTGGAGAGCTATCCTGCCACTGGTGGCAAAATGATGCTGCTCGGCGGACTCAACTTCCTTCCCGAGTCCAAGGTGGTGTTCGTGGAGAAGGCACAGGGTAAACTGGATGCAAACCTTCACAGACTGTGTTCCTTGCATTTTAATTTCCCTTCCTAATATCTCTTTCAAATGTCTCTACCCTTCTCACTTCCAGTTGTGTTTTTTTTTATTCCCTCTTCCCGTCAAAATAGAGTAAGACTTGCCAGAAAGCAACATGTGGTGTGCATTAGACCACTATATTTTTAACCAAAGCGTATTTACATTCGCTGAAGTTTCCATTGCCTGTTCTTTGGTTCTCGCCACAAGTGAAGGAATGAATCACGACCAGGGCATGTGCAATATCTCTTTTTCTCACTTTTCCTTTCTGCCTTGCTGTTCTGTCTTTACTTACTGCCCTGCTCCTGACAGTTAACCCTCTCACTCATTTTGCCACTCACTTGCCACGGTTGCTCGTCGCTGCAACTGCCTAAGAGAGGCGAGTCCTTTTGTTTCTCTGGTTTCTCAATGCCGTGGGTGGAGGGAACGGCAGAAGGAATAATAACCAAGTTTGCATATGATTGACTGATGATCATGAAAAATTGTTTGATTGAGCACAAAGTAATCAAATTAAACATGTACTCACTGCCATAATCTCAACTTTAAAGCCTTGAACTATCAAATAAACTTTCCTCAAAGTAACGTCATCATAATAATTTAGGAACATTTTTTTTTTTCATGTACAATTTAAATGAATAAAACGTTTATACACAGCTGTCTCTCTAAAAGCTGTACTGGGTTTAACTTTTTATTCATTTTAAATAGTTAAAGGTATGGTTTAATGTTAAAGATATGCTAGCAATACCTGCCTAAGGCAACACTCAAATGAAACCATATTGTTTATCCATCCATCCATCCATCCATCCATCCATCCATCCATCCATCCATCCATCCATCCAACTTCTAACACGCTTAATCCCAAGTGGGCTTGCGAGGGGTGCTGGTGCCTATCTCCAGCTGTCTACAGGCGATAGGCGGGGTACACCCTGGACAGGTCGCAAGTCCATCGCAGCCATATAGTTTATCAGAAGCTTAATTAGATTTAATTAGTGCTTATCTTTGGCACTTTCTACATAACTGGGTAAAATATATTTGGTTTTGTAGCATATACTGTATATTATCCAAACCACTGAAAACCACCAAAGTGTTCCTCAGATAGTCAAAGCAATTGCAACAAACTAATTCACAATTAAGGAGATGTCCTTCACTAGGAGTGCCTCCTCTGTAGTAATTTAGAAAAACTACACCACCAAAAATCTAAAGATAAAATATTGGAGATTATCTTGTATGCTCCTTCTGATTTTCAAACAATTATTCACACTGTGCATGTAGTTCAAAAGTCACAATAATACTCAAAACTGGTAAAAGCAGACTGTCCTTATAAAAGAAGGTAACCTAAACTTGAAAATGAGAAATGAGGATGCAAAGTTGAATTAAAAACATTGCTCAATTTTTATATATCCTGTGCACTGAGAGACAGATGTGACTTCATGATCAAGAAGATGTTCAAGAATGAATCAAAAGAGAGAAAGTCAATGGACATGCAGCAGGCACTATTTATTGCTATTGTAAAATGTTTCCTAGAGCATAAGAGATGAAGGCAGAAAAAGTTTCAATCAGCGCAATCTAAGCTGTATCTGTACACAAAGATTTGAACTCTATAGAAGAATTAAATAAATGCAACACATTTTTTCCAGCTGTTTATTGGCCATCTTTTATACATCAGATTTTACTGTTATCTCCTCACCTTTTCAAAGAGAAGACATTGTATTTTTTGGCAAACCTGAAGCACAAATACAAAACATACTTGTAGAAAATATTAATATGAAATAGTAAAGTATAGGGCTGAAATAACTTATCGGATTAATTGTGATTAATTGATCATTGAAATAAACAACAACAAATGTAGTTATAGATTAATGTTTAACTCTAAAACGTGTCTTTAGCCAACGAAGTGACCAGCTCTATGTAAACGTTTGGCATTTAAGATAAAAAAAAACGTTTTGGTCTGTTAATGTGCTCTAACCATAACAAGTGGAAAAGTTTTTGTTTCACCTGACTTAATTCCGTAAAAAATGTTCCTTAAGGAACATTTGTTGTCTTTATATCAATTCATTAATTGAAAAAATAATGGACAAATTCATCAATTAGCAAAAATAATCATTAGTTGCGCCCTAGTAAAGTATATCTTATCCAGTAAAATTAGGGGCTTTGTTTTCGTCTAAATTACATTTCATACTAGTCAATTGCTGATGCCTGATATCTAGAAGAACAGTGGATGAACACAATATAAAATAATGTGTTTAATATTTTTTTATCTTACTTGTTTAAAGTTTAAAGAGTAAAATGAAAAAAAAAACCTATAAAAATTTGATACGTTCTGTTTAAAAGATTAACTGTAAAGACTCTGTGGTTAAGGAAGGGACTGAATGTTGGTAATATGGGGGTCTCCTTCCTCCTGGATTTACTTAGTCATGGATGGAGGATGGGGGAGTCCCTGAAGAAGAAAATTCATACATATATGCCCTCCTGTCTGAGCCCTATGACCCCCTTCTAGGTTGTGTTTCCTGTCTTTCACCCACACTTCTTGCCTCAGCCCTGTTTCCTTCTGTTCTGTTTCCCCCCCTCAATATTCAGTTTTGTGTACCTCTATCCTTGATATCTGCTAAACACATTAGCCAGTGTGGAGTTCTGCTCCAGTGGGAACCTCCCCACACTTTGCCTTGCTATTGATATTCTAGCAGTTTGTGTTCAGAGTCCTCTCATTTGAGTGAGAGATCAGAAGAGCAGTTATCTGTTTGCTACTTAGACTGCTTTTATCTAAATTTTAATGACCTACTGCTTGGAGTTAAAAAGCCCATTACGGACTTACTAACACACTCCAAACACACATGTGCACACACGTTCAGTAATGGAAGCTACATATGAGCATGGAAAAGGGCAGAGCATATGGGCTCAAGATAATGCTGCAAATCCAGCCTTAATTTAGGTATTTTATATCAAATAAATCCTATTTGATATAGTTTCACAGAATTATTTCTGAAATTTAAAGTGAGGGTAACACAATGAATATTATTTAGAAAAAATACCTCAAAATTATGCTTTTATTATAAAATTTCTCTCTGACTGCAGTCTTATTTTCTGCTGGAAAAGTTCATGACTAAATGAGTCTTTGAAAGTTTGCACCACAATGATTATTCCTCTCAGACAGTTACCATTACGCTCAAAGAGACACACGCATTCGAGTGCAGCCAAACGCCTGGGAAGGCATAAAAACCAATCACTGCTTTTGCCACAGTGGTGACAGCCATTACTGCTGCTGCCATCGAAAGTCAGAATGGCTGCTCACTTTCCGAAATTGACTCCAATAAACACCTTCCAAAATGCTCCACAAATCCTAAGGAGCAACAGACGGATTCAGTCTTATTCCAACTTGTGTGAAAAATGCTTTGCAGTGAAAATCATCTAGGTTGAGTCAGAACAAGATCACAGGCAGCTTAGAAGCCCATTAGCTCAAATGGCCCGACTATAAATCGTAAATGCTTGCATGTTGTTAAATGCTCCAATTTGAAGTAAGAAAAAAAATTCCATAAAAATTTACAAAATTGGCCCATTAACAATTAGTGGTTGAATGAAGAAGTCTAAAATATCCATGAGTATTTCAAGAAAAAATACACTTTATATAAGAAATTGAAAATTCATTAAAGTTATTCAAAGCTAGAAATATTAATCACATATTTATGTGCCAAAATAAACTTGAGCTATTTAATTAGAGGCATTCCAATTCTAGAGTGCCCTTCAAAAGTATTTATTTACCACTCAAACTTTGTCAAACACTGCAACTGCAAACTTCAATGCACTTAGTTGGGTTTCAGTAATTTAGATGTACACAAAGTATTGCAGTATTGGAGAGTTGTTTAAAAAAGATGCCACTTTTTCTTATACACTTTATAATCAGAAAAGCCTGTGAACATTTTTGTTCCACTCTATTTATTCTGATACCCTGTTGTAGGGTCAAATCAAGCCAACTCTTAGCATCATGCTCCCCCTATTGTGAAACACAATGGCAGTATTATGCTTTGAAGTGGAGTGCAGGGACAAGGACATTGCGTAAAGCTAATTGAAAAATGGATGTAGCGACATACAGGTCATTCATGGAAGTGACTGCAAAACACTGAGGTCTGGATCAGAGATTAAGCTTCTAGCAGGACAACAATTTTAAAGAAAGGATCTAGAGCTGCAGCAGATCGCAACATTTTCTTGTAAGAGTCAAGGTCCAGAATTTAACCTGAAAACTTTGAGATTGCAGTTTTAAAGACAATCTGCTATCAATTATCTAGGCTTTGATTATTTTCCAAAGAATGGGTATTCATTTTTGTAGGCATATGTTAAAGACTTTACACAACAAAAAGCAGTTTCAGTAACTGTTAACTAAAAGAAGTCTATGCAGATACACTATATGTTTAGCTTCAGGTCAAGGAGTATGAATTTTTTTTCCAAGACACTGCAAGAAAAAATGTGTCTGTTCAGAAGTTTACAAAACCACCAGATTATTTACCCATCAATACAGCTAAAACCTTCATCTCCTTTTGTGTATGTGTGTGTGTTTTTTTTATTAGGTCTTTCCTACCATACCCCCTGAGACACCCCCAGTATCATATAAACTAAGCTATTCCAACCTCTGCTGCCAAATCTTAATGCAGCTTGAATAATAATTACTTTCTTTTTAAACCTCCCATCCATCCCCATTGCTTCCCGTCATCGCCCACAGGATAAACTGATGCAAACCCGCTGAATTTGATGTATGTGCATGTATTTGCTGGTGTTGTTGCGTACATTGGTACCTGCTCTAGCTGCTAGCCTCCAGGCCTGTTTGTGTTGTTCAGGAGGAAGTGTTTTCAGTGAGTCATACACCAAGGATTCCCCATTGAGGGGTGAAGCGGAAAGCAGCAGATCCCAAGCTCTTGAAAAGAGCGAGAAGGAAGGAAAAAAGGAGGAAAAAGGCAAGGCTTCATTATTCCT